ATGAGGTTATAATTTCATTAAAGGAGCTATGCATGCCTTGAACATTTATCATTAGAGTATTTTTATTTTTTGATCTAATTTGGCTTCTGGGCCTAAAAGAGTATAGGTAAACTGTCACCTTCTTAGTTTTGGAAAGAGACTAGACCACTGTTTAGTTAGTATTTCTTTTAAGCTTTTTTGTTTGTCACTGTTTTCTTGAGAGTTAACATAAAGGTTGATTTTCTGTGTCTCATTTAGTGATCTATCACTTTGTACATTTTCTGATACATTTAGCTTTTGTTTAGTTGTATCTTCGATTTCCTCTGTGTTGTCTAATATTACCTGTTCTTTAGACATATTGTTTGTTGTTATATTTGTAATGTCTACTGATGTGTTAGTGTTGTTTACTTTTTGGTCTTGAGTGGTTTTCATTTTTCCTATTTCCAGTTCTACTTGTTTGTCCCAGCTTGCTAAATTTTTGCTAAAGGTTTCTTTTAGTGCTTGCTTTTCTTTTTGCTTGTGTCTAGTAGCTTCTTCTTCAATAGTTATTGAACTTGAAAGACTTGACACATTTTCTTTGTTTTTTTTTACTTTTTTTCTACTGTTTGCTAATGCCATTTTTTTTGTTGTTTTTGTGCTTTTTGTATATTGAAATTCTGTAAAGAACCTTTTTCTTGAAACAAAGGCAAGGATCCTGTTTTAGTAATTGCTTTAGTCAGTTTTGTCTTGTTATTTGTTATTATTTTAACAAAAAAGATTACTCTACTTTAAAACTTGTGTGTTCAAGAGAGAGTGCATATAGATCTTCTATCTAAAATAACTTTAAAATAAGGTTAATTCAAGTTAAACTAAATTAAAAAATAAATTAATTAACTTAATTTAACTTAACTTATTAACAATTTTAGTATCAAAACTAACTTTAAAAATATATAATAAATCTAAAAAATATATATTCTATAAGAAGTTCTGTTTAGAAATTTTAAATAAAAAGATAATATAATTTTTAATAATACTATTTTAAAATTTTTAATCTAAAAAAAATTCTGAAATAGATAATTTATATATATAATTAATTACTCTTAGATAGAAGATATTTATTAACTTAATTACTAGTTAATTTGAACATAAAATTGCATTATGCAGAACTTATTGGATTGATAGTATAAAAAAACTTTCAAGAATAGACAAAATATTAATAAAGTTATAAAAAAAAGTACTAAGGTTATATGAACTTTATAAAAATACAATAGTTTAATAGTTAATTCTAATTGTAAGTGTTAATCTTGACTATAGCAATATTAAATTAACTATAAATAAGAATATAAAAAGTTTCAAAAAATTTATTTTAAAGATAAATTAATCTTAAGATTAAAATAAAAATTTGAACATAACCTAATAAAATTAATACAGAAATGCAAAATTAAAGGATAAAATAAAATATCTAAACAGAAAATTAGATAGTAACTCCTTAAATAGATAATATAAAAAAATTATATGCATAATCAATTATATACTCTTTCTATAATATTTTTATATAAACATGTTACTTAAAAAAATGTTAATAAAATCAAAAAACCAAAGAAGTCATCTTAATACTAAAAAAAAAAGATAATAATACATTAAAAAAAAATTTATTAACAGATATTACTGCCTTTATAATATGCTTTTAGAAGTTTAAAAACTGTATTGAGATTTGAATAAGGCTTTGTAAATCTTCAACAAAAAAAGTATAATATGTAGAATTGGTATTTTGATTATTTGTAACAAGAGAACTTGTAATTGAAAGTTATTTCTTAGTTGTTAATAATTATTATTATTAATTTGATTATAATTTTTATTAATATTTACAAATTATTGATAACTTTGCTTTAGAATATTTACCAAGTGACCAAGATGTTAAAACATTTTGATTACAAGTATACATAATGCCTACATGCTATTGCATATGCTGTATAGATAAAATATATATATATATTTTTTTGGTATTAAGGTGACCTCTTTGGTCTTTTGACTTTTATTAATTACTTATCGGTATTGTGGTTCAATGAACTACTACAGAAGAGTGTATAATTGGCTACATGTGTAACTTTTCTATATTACCTATTTAAGGAGTCCACCTGAAGGTTTCCTACCAATTGCTATACCTAACACCCCTGCTTGGGTGTTATATTTTAAACCCTCTGAACCTGTAACCTGTGTTAACATCACTGATCATCTCTGATGTACCAGATCATCATCCTCAACCTTAGGACTAATTTATCCTCGAGGTAAATCCTCCAGATCCTTCTGTACCCATTTTTATAACTGACCTAGGTATCGTTATAGCAGAACCAATACTTGTGGTCAAGGCTAACCATTAAACCGCTATGTTCTTGTAGAGTTTACTTAGACCTTAGCATCTACTTTACAGCATAATCCCAGTACTTTAGTATATCCCTGTCTTTTGTCCAACCTTTTTACCAAACTCCCAATCCAGATAGCCCATATAGGACTATGATCAGTCCATTAGTATATCAGGTTGACCCAATATCCTTTTCCTCCAGTTTGTTCTGATGGCCTGGTTAGTAGTACCTCTGAGCTACCCAACCCAGAGGTTCTTGCCTGTCTGGCTACTACGACCAGGTACTATGATCTTGGTATCCATTTCCCCAGACTAGCCTTTACAGTAGGGTCATTGAAGATCCAGCTACCTTTCTACTTAGGTCTTCCCAAATAGACTTCTTGTTACCCAATTTCAACAGATTTATACGACCACAAGGACTTATCTAGTGTTTGCACTGCCTATTGCCGGTTTGCATTCCTTTGTGTAACCACAACCTTGTCCCAAAGGACAATGTCATGTGACCTGTTACACGAATACCCCATGACCTGCCAGTCATGCTGGTGCGACCACCATTACAGGTATCCTAACCCAATCGTTAGTAACAGTTGCTGTAATATGAATATTACATAGGTGATTATCCAAATTTTTGCCATCGATGGGATTTGAACACCCAACCTACCACTTGGAGGGTTGACAACCTGACCACTTCACTAGGTCGTCACACCCCCAGATAAAATATTATTAATGCATCTAATTAGACATTTACAATGTAAAGTCATTGGTTAGTTATAGTCTATAAAAAAAAACTTTGGAATTTGAACTTTTTAGAAGAATCATCTTATGAAGTAATATCAAAAACAACTAACATTTTTTAGTATTGCTTTCTAGACTCAAAATTCCTAATCACCAATTTCATACTCCATTGGGTAAATTAGTTGTAAGACTAATCTTAATTCAATAATAGTATTTGACTGTTTCAACTAATTGCAAAAAAAATAGTACTAATTTATATTTGCCAATATATAACATTTGAGATGGTAATTATAAATGTTAGTTATTATTTCTTTATTATTTCATTTATTTAAAGTATAATACAGAATTTGAGTTGCTTTTATAAAGTCTTTTGTATGTTGATTAGCTAATTCAAAAAGTTGATTTTCACTATATTGTCATAGTATTTCAATTTTTAACTAAACTAAATCTGAATCTTATTTAATAAAATCTATACATATGTTGGTTCTATAGAAAATTATTACTCTGCAATGATTTTTGTTTATTTCTTGAAAAAACAAAGCTTATTTTTTATTATGTTGGTATATGAATGCTAACTTGAATCCAAGACCTGCTAAATTAATTGTAATTTCACTAACATACCTAATTTTTATTATCCAAAATCAAAATCATTTCAAGTTGAAAATTATAAGGACGAAATAATAAATCAGATAATAATTCATTTTTAATAATTGTTTTATCAAATTCTAGAACTTCTGAATCTGAAAATTTTGTTTTGGTTTGGAAAATGTAATGATATACAAAAGAAATAATTACTGTCATTGTTTTACATATCTCATTTTGAATCTCACCACACTTACAAATATATTCAGAGCATGGGCCAAAAGCAGAGTTAGATTGAACTATTTCAGTAATAAACTCATGCTCTTTTAATATGACTAATGTTTTAAATTAGGTATAGTGAGATTATTTCATTTGCTTTATCAATAGGCCAGGGAAACCACCAATTATGGTAAAAGGGTCCAAAATGCAAGCCTTCATTCCAAATACCATGAGAAAGTAATGTAATTGTATATTCTTTGTGTTTGGGCATGTAGTAAAAAAAAATTTAAACGAAGACAGTAGTAGATTCTAATATGTGTTCAAAATCTCTAAGTTAACTATATTAAATTTCACTGATCGGCATACGGATCACGAATTAATAACGTTAGCAGTGACCGTGATTATGCATTAAACAAAATCAATTTGCTTCAGATGAATACGACTGGCATTGAATTTGTGGCAATAGCTCTTCCTACTGGACTAAACCACTTTATACTAATCCTAATTCTGGAATTAATATAACTCATGCAACTAGTCAACCTACATATTCTACTAGCGCACCATACATTTGTCATTGGGATTCGAATAACACCAAAATTTAGTACCAAATGGATTGGAATCATTATATTACTCTTAGATGTGGTCTAGCAATATATTTTAATGTTGTGCTTACCGAGTTGGTTTAAAGCCCAGCTTTTATGTATACATTGCTTCTCTTGCATATGCTTTAATATATAAAATATTTTTGATTGAAACTTTGGTAGCGAAGTTAATTTATTTGTGCATGAAATGTTATGACCATACGTTAAAAAAACCTTAATATATTTTTTGCATAAATTATTAACTTTAATCAAAATCTGGGCAAATTATAATTCAACTCAGGTAAATATACCAAATAAAGCTCAACTAAAATGAAAACGCAAACTATGTAGTAATGTCAAATCTGTGATTGGTTGGAAATAATTTTTAGCCAATCATGTATTTGTATTTATTTGGATTTCTGATTCCGTGGAACAGTAATTTGAAAAGCGCAAAAATATATTTTTCAATTATATTGTAAATTTTATTAATTATTATCAGCATTTTAAAAATTATTATTCTTTAATTGCAATAATCCGTAGCAAAGTGTCATGTATAAATTACATTAATATGATTCGTTATCTACAACATAGTCCATAGTCTGATCTTCATCTACTAATTGATCATCATTTTCGTGGTCGCTACCTCTATCATAAAATTCATTTTCGCCCAACATTAAACGTCGTCTAGGTCTAATGTCCGGGATCGCATCTTCTTGGTAATCTCTCATTTCATCCTCAGATTCTTCCCACAATTCTTGCAAATCTTTAGAAAATTCATGTAATTGTACACTTGGTGCTCCATCCAATAATCTCAAACGCTCGTGAATATGTTGTGACAATTTTTGTAAATCTGCTTTAGTATTCAGATTTTCAATCCGTCTAACAAGAGGTGGATGCAATGAATAATCTGGCCCAAAAAAATTATAAAATTGTGCATGTTTGGGCAGTGCTTCCGGTACTTCTGTATCAAGTAGTATGCTTGTCTCGTAAGCCCAGCATCGTGCCACATTTTCGATTTTATATCCTCCACCACCAAGAACTAGTAAGGGTATTTGCCAATTTTTTACAAATCGAACACATTCTCCATGAGCTTTAATACTAAGATTAAATCCCCCTAACTTATCCTTTCCAAGTGAATCTGCCCCAGATTGCAGAACAACCGCATTTGGTTGATAACGGTCTTTAACATCTGTAATAATATCCTTAAATAAAGCGACATAACTTTCGTCATCCATTCCATCTTTAAGCGGTATATTTAAGCAAAACCTTTTTCCTAATCCAATCCCAATCTCACCTAAACCTCCAGTCCCTGGAAAATATTTTCCATTTTCTTTATATTTATGAAATGATACGGTCATACATCGATCTGTTTCGTAAAATGCTTCTTGTACTCCATCACCGTGATGTATGTCAATATCAATGTATAAAACCCGTGGAAAAACCCTTGAAAAATGATTATTAGATAGAGGTATTATATTATATTGACCATCATAATCCTCATATAATAAATCACCGCGACCAACCTCAACAACTGTTGAATAGCTAATACGATGTCGTTTACAAAGCAAAACCCCGATGCCTCATTGTGCTTGGCATGATGTAATCCACCACTCCAATTAATGCATATGTCAGTATCTTCACTCGTCAGTCGTAAAGCCGCAGCCACCGATGCACCAGCATAAATTTGGCAAAAATCGTACATTCCTCTAAATATTGGACAATCTTCACTGATGTTAAATCTGTCTGCGTCAAAAGAATATTGCTCACTATTTTCAGGGGTGACACTGTATTGATGAATAATATATAATTCAGAATTATGGATGATTAACCATTGAAATTATTTAAATTGTGACATTAAAATCGGGTACTTTTTTAAAAAAGTTATATAACTGGGAATATGAAATTCCATCAATTCATAGTCGGTTGCTTTTGGAGGACAAAAAACTCGCATTTTTTCATGTAATCGATAAGCACATACTAAATCATTGGTGTAAGATAAACGCAGTGGTTTCATTGGATGTTGAACCTATAATACAACTGCATGAGTAATCAAAAAAGCAACTTCAAATACTAAACAACGTACAATCAAATCCCATTGTTATCATTAGTATCGACATCCCAATGTTAACCACCACTATGAAATAAACTCCACCAAGGAGAATTCTTAATCTTCGTAGCAGCACATTCAACTTTGTACTCAGATCTAAGGCGTGATAACAAAAGGAATTTAACCGTACTTATATTGTAACATACTCCAAACTGAAAGTTTCCAATCTCTTTGTTATGGAAATATGATATTCGTTTTTTGTAATGCGATTGCACATGGGAGGTGATAGGTTGTGGTCTTAGATTGTAACAACTACTATCAGAAGAAAAAGTGGAATCCATGTTGTGTTAAGAGTTTACAAAACTACTAACGCTAATGATATTCATTTGTGTTACCAGGGCATTTATAAATGTGATTCCCTACAAATTTTAATTAATCGTAATAAAATAAAGCTTTTGCGATGCCAACTGTGGTCGTAGCACATTTTAAAACAAACATATACGAATATCTTGAAGCATTACAGAAGTCTACTCTCGACAAGTTATACGAAGAGCCAGCAACATGCTTGGCCATATTCAGGTTTGTTTTTAGTAGCTTTGGGTACGATCCTTAGTAAAGGCGAATAATAGCTTAACTTAGTGTCATATAGTGGTTTTCTAGATCGAGATTTAGGAAATAAATAAAATAAAATAAAAATAAAAATAAAAAGACAAAGTATTTAATGTCCAAGTGATTTTACTATTTGTTAATATAACATAGTCCGAGCTAGTTACACCTGAAGACTATTAGCTAGATTATTTCATATATTCACTTTAGATACATATAGTTAAAATGTGAGTGCATTATGATGTTTTGGGATTCTTTTAATAAACGCGTGTTATATTATATATTTCTTGGACAATACGAATTTTCGATTTTGTATTTTTTTAGTAATGTTTATAATAATAAAATTTTCTTGTCTAACAAAAGATTGCACTTGCCATAATAGACTCCTTCCATCATTAGCGAGACAATTGGTAATGTCTTTGCTATTTTCTACTCAGGTTATGAGTAAAGCCGATTTAAGGCAATGGATTAAAAATGACAAAGAATCATTGTTGTATGTATACTAATTTTGGTTATGTTTTATTCGTTTTTTTATACTCATTGATTTTAATAAAGTTTCCGCTATTAAAAATGATTAGGAAATTTGAGGAAGCTTTGGACAAATTACAGAAGTTACACATTATGATTGAACAAGAAAATAAAACAATAGCTTTAAATTCTTCATTTAAGCAAAAATTCCAAGAATGCTTAACTGGAGGGTAATTATATTTTATTAAATAAAAAATTTTTAGTTATTAAAATTGAGTCACAGCTGACGATATATAATTTTATCAAGTGGATCACACCAAAGTTTTGGAAAGCTGTATAATAAACCACATAGGCATAGCCAAAGTAATTCATCACATAAACTACCAGACATTAAATTATTAGATGATCATGCAAAGACAAAATGGGAAGAAATTCTACATTTTATGGTCGGGACTGATCGAATGAGTTTACCAGGAGCCTCTGTATTAAAAGTTGTCACTAAAGCTAACTTAATGAGAGAAAAGGAGGGGTAATCAACATTGCATATTTATTTGTTTATTAGAAGGAAGTTGAAAGTCTTTTTGTTAATAATCCATAACCGTCTGATTGAAACTGCAGGAAGGGTTTAGAAATAACAAATAAAGGATTTCAATTTTTATTACAAGATGTTAATACTCAAGTATGGGCTTTTTTAATTCAATATTTAGATTTGGCTAGTGAGGTAATTTCATTTCTTGATGAATTCATTTTATTCAGCTTAAATATAAGGATAGCTAATGTTACCATGTTCAATTGTCAGATGTTACATATGAATGTTGTTGAAGTATTGAATTTTTTTTTCATGCTAGGAAGCCTGGAATTAGGGCAGGTAATGAACTCTTTTTTTTTTTTGAAACTTTAATATTACTTCAGATACAAAAAGTTTAAACCCAAATTTTAATTTGTCCAGCTTTTTATCCTGTTTTTACAATAAATAGGATTATTCAGTTGAAGGGTTAACAGATACGCAACGACAACTACTTGATGACTTAACTAATTATGGACTTATCTATAGACCCAAAGTAAAGATCTATATTTTTGATAATTCGTTCAAATATAATGTTGTTGTGAATGAATAGAGGAAACAAAAACTTGCATTTTTGACAATTTCATAACGAGTTTACATTTTTTTTTTACAAAATGAATAGAAAAGCTCAAAGAGATATTATCCGACACGTCTTGCTACTACATTAACGTCAGGAAACTCAGCAATTGTATCAAATACAACGTCTAATAATCCTGCAGATGATGATGATAGCGCCACAGAACAAGGATTTATTATTGTTGAAACAAATTATAAATTATATGCCTATACAAGTAATCAAATGAATCAATTATGATTTTCGCATAAAATTATTACGTATATAAACTTTTCTTTTCATTAATGACAGGTTCACAATTACAAATTTCGGTGTTAAACTTATTTTGCAATCTTCAGTTTCAGTTTTCTAATATGGTGACCGCAGAAATAACTCGAGAGAGTGTGAGAAAAGCATTAAAACATGGTATTACTGCAAGTCAAGTATGTTAATTTCAAAGAATGCGTAATTGTGATCCTATGAAGTTTAATGATTAATTATAATAATATTACGTTAAAAAGATTATATCGTATTTAACATCACATGCTCATCCACAAATGAAAAAACGCCCAGCTTTGCTACCGTCAACTGTAGTTGACCAAATTCAGTTATGGGAAATGGAACTCAATCGATTGATCATAACTGATTGTATGTTAGAGGATATTTGCTCTATTCATAATATTTTTGCTTACTAACAATATTTTCTGATTTTAGGCTACTTGTATAAGGATTTTCGTACATTCGCTGATTATGAAGTTGTTCTAAAACATGCAAACACTTTAGGAGTAGTAGTTTGGTCAAACGATTCGAAAAGAATGATTGGAATTGCCGAAGCGGGTCATGAGCGTGTGAAGGCTTTTATTAAGAGAAAGATTGTACAAAGAAGAACTAATGGCGGTGATACAACTAGTAGTGCTGGTGGTACTCCTGCAAGATGATATTCATTTATCAGAACATTCATGAATTAGCATATAGACTAACATAAGGTTATCGGATGAAAGCTCTGCACTTTATAAAGAGCAATTTTAATTGTGTATTCAATAAATACTTATATCTCGGAATTTTGTAATTAATACTGGCTATACATTAGAGAACTTTATACAATGTTGAAAGCTTACACAAGTTTTACATCGACAGAGATGTTCTGCAAAAGTGTGATAATTTTGTGATGATTTCATATTATGGCTTATTAAACGATCGTGACAATTTATCAATAGAGACGTACGTGTTCCATGTGAGATAGAATTGGCATATATTCTACATATCATATGACTTCGCGCAAAGTGCAAGATGACCTCATAAAGGACGAAGGCTTAATCTACGGTTTCTTTAAATATTTATTAGCAGTGTTGTCAATTTTTGTCCTATTAATAAAGAGATAATTTTATTTATCGCGTAATACGATGAATATTATTCATCGCACAAATTTATCCAAAACTATAAACATATTACTTATGTATATGCGTCGTATTTACTTGCTACAGACGTTGTCAAGATCTACTTGTCCTGATTCTGGCTGCTAGTAAAAGATATGCGAACAAAACGTTCATACATATCAATAAAATAATAGGCTACAACCATCCTTTTTGTATTCTCATGTTAAAATATTAACCCACAAAATTAATATTAATAATGTTCATCTGGTATATGCAGAATAATACAAATGTTGCTATCGGACCATTTAGCAATCTAAAAATTTTGCTATCAGGTTAAATTATAACTCAATATCAGTATATATAAAATCAAACCAAAATGCACTCAAATTCTAATTCCGATAATGAAATTTTGTAAATCAGTTTTATTTGAATTTGCAAAATTAAATTAATATTAAAAGATCACACTATAGCATAAAGAGAATTTCAAATATCATTAACAACAAGTTATATAATACATTGTAATAAAATTTATTAAAAACTATCGAGCTTATCAAGCTGTGGCAAATTTTACAGTTACAGGTGTTGAGTAGATCTTTCATTTAAAAGAAAATAATAAAAGAAAAATGAAGAATAAATATTTAAAAAATGAAATTTAAATTCAAAAGTTTTCTAAACATTATAAGATATTACAATAGAATTAGTTTTTTTTTTTAAATATTAACGGTGAGGCCATGCCTCAATAGAATTAGTTTTTAATACAATCTTACTATTTAGTCTATGTAGTTAAGTATAACAAAATTGTTTATTCTTTATAAAAATTATTAGGTTTTAAGATTTAGAAATATTTGTAAATTATAATTAGAAAAAAAAAGTCTTAATAATCAGATTGTTGATAATTATATATAGTCTTTAAATATCAATAATATAAAGTAAATATTTACTAAATAACTAATTAAAAAAATTAGTTTTTTATTTACATTATTATAAGAAAAAGAAAATAAAAAATAAAATTATTCAAAAATAAGATAAAGAATAGTTTTATTAATAATAATAAAATAAAAATAAATAAAATAATATTTTATTAAAGAATAATTAAAATACAAAAAAACTTTTATATATAAAAAAAATTTTAAAAAAAACTTAAAAAGAAACTTTAGACAACTCTTTTCTATAAATCCCTTGACCAAATTTTACAAAAAGCAAAAACACAAAATAAAACCAAAAGGCACAAATAAATAGTATTTAGAGTATTAGAAAAAAAGATTAAGGCTTATAAAATATAGTTAACCAATTTGGAAAACAAAAAATAAACCAAAACAGTAGCAGACAACAATAAGAAATAAATTTTTAATGAAATTACAAAATTTTTTAAAAAAATATGAATACATTTTGGCTCTATTTCTGCAAATCTATTAATTATATGAAATTAAAAGTAAACAAAGACATGTACAGCAAAGTAACAAATAAAGATATATAAATATAAACAAGAGTAAACACATAAGTATTATACTAAGTATGTAAACATAAAATTTAGAAAAATAAAAACTAAATAGAAAAAAATACTCTTTCTGTCAATTACCAAAACACAAATTTACAAAAAAGAAAATTGAATTTTATACAAAAACCAGTGTTAAAATAACAGTCAGAGACTTAGACAAAAAGAAAGAGTACTTAAAACAGACCTAGTAAGTGCAAAGACAAAAAAAATAAAAAGACATAACAAGTAGAAAGAAGACAAGCTTAACAAAACAAAAACCAAAAAGAAAATTTTGGAAAAACAGCATTAACCTGAAATTGCAGATCATTTTGAACCATGTAAGCATATGAAGAAACAAACAAACAAACATGTACAGATATAGGCAGGATAAACACATAAGTATTATAAAGTGCATGTGATAGAAGTATTTAGAAATAGTTATACAAACACAATCAGATGTCGATACAAATAAAATCAGAAGAGTCTAGAATACTAAAGTTGGTAAGTGAAAGGACAAAAGATACTAAAACTTATAGATAGCAAAGAAGTAGAGCAAAAACTAGCAAATAGAAACAACCACTTTAATGTAAGAGATATAGTTGCAGTAGTATTATGGAAGACAGACTTAATAAAAATAATAATGCTAAAGAAAATATATAAAGCAATAATTAAAGTAGACATGAAAGATCCAACCAGTGTAGAAAAATAGGCAAAAGAAATAAATCATATAAGCCAACATCCAATAGCAATAGAAAGCATGAATAGTAAGAAAAATTAAACAATATCAAGAAAAAAAATAATTATACTAGAAAGGTATATGAAAAAGATAAGACAAACAATAGATGCAGTAAATATAGTAGTGTTTCTAGGTTCAGTTTAGTTCAATTTAGGTTCATGAACCAAGTTCATTGAACCTGAACTGAACCTCAAATTTTGCAGATTATTAAACATGAACCTGAACTGAACTTAAAATTTATGAACCTGAACTGAACCTAAACTTAAAATTTGGTTCAGTTCAGGTTCAGTTCAAAGTTCATGAACATGTTCAGGTTTAATATTATTTATATATATTTTATATATAAAACAAATTTACTTTTTTTTTTTTTTTAAATATTAAGGTGAGTACTTGCAACCCAGGATTTTATTAATAGTATATTCAGCTAATGGTTGCATTACAACCACAGAGGACAACTATGGAAAGAGTGTACAACTAGCCACTTATACAACTTTAGTCATTGTCTAATTTAAGTAGTCCACTCGAAGGTTCTACACTAGC